GATTTTAAATTTTTAGGTCTTCTGTGAGAACCCTTATTTTTAAAATACAATTTTCCCAAACTACATGCCTTGCACCATGATTTAAACAACCTCTTATATGCCTTAGCATTATATTTTATAATGTGTTACAACAAATCCCTTGTATTGACCCTCACTTTAAAACACAAATTTCTTATTTACATGCCTTATTATAGGATCTAGACCATTTAATATATACCCTTACAACATATTTCCTATGTATTATAATAATTTTCATGCATTTCATTTCAATTCATTTTACTTGAGGTAAAATATTTCCTTGAGCTAGGTTGTAAATAATTCACCACTTGTAATTGTCCAAGTGTTCTTTTATTAGTGGTTGGAACTTTACATGTAGGATTAGAGGTGTTAAATATGTATTGGTACATTTGGAAAGGTTAGTATGTCATTAGTCAAAGATTAAGAAAGGATTGGACAAGGATGGAGCCAAGTGGCAAAACCCTAGCCATGGATCTTGTTTGACCAAGGGATTAGAAAGAATTTAAACAAAAAATTGGCCCTTTTATTTCCTCCTTGTGGCCGACTTTCATGAAGCTTAGAGAGGAAGAGAGAAACTCCATTTTTCCTTGCTTTCTAACCCTAATAAATCAAGAGCAAAAATCAAAGAGAAAGAACTTGAGTGGCTTGAGAAACTTCCCTTTCATTCCTAGTGGTTGATCCAAGCTTGAAGCTTCCATCTTGGTGGATTGTTTGGTGACCTAAGCAATTTGTAAGAGAGGTAAATGACCTTTAACTTTGGGGGTTATGATGTTATATCATCTATTTTAAGTTTTTATGGTGAAATATAAGTTGTTTTGGTTGAGATTTGGGGTTAATCCCTTCAATTAAACAAGTAGTAGTTAAACTTGTTAGTATGCCTACCAAGTGTTTGATGAAATGCCTGGCCCTTGTTCATGTGTGTGTATGAGGTATTAACATGTTTTTGAGCCCCTTTTTAGTAAATCTAATACTTGTTATGTGATTGGAGTATAAATCATGAAAGGTTGAAAGTTAGAAAAGTTGGGGAGGTGCTGTCCGAAAATTTCAAGGGCTTGCTGCCCTGTTTTGCTTTGATAATTTCATACTTAATTTGGCTACAAGTGTGAGGGATATATGTTGGGTTATGTGTTTGGAGGTTGTCTACAAAAAAATTAGCCAATTCGGTTGGATAAATCTTGAGTTATGAGCAAAAAGGAAAAACTGGACTAGGTCTAGGAATTTTCTGACCAATGATCTTGTGAAGGTTATAACGTTTTACTCAATGATCAGAATTGAGTGCCATTTGTGGCATTTGAAAGTAGACTCTTAGAGCTTTAAAATGGTACCAAGCTCATTTTCTGGTTCGTCCGAACGATTCGTGGCGAGTCTTGAAAGTTGGCTGCCTGGTTGTTACTGTTCATCCGAGACTGTCCAGAAAATTCTTGTTGTTGCTTAATTTTGAACCACTTACATTTGGATTTTGGAAATGGTTTCTTCTACACAAATATAGCCTTTGAACCTAGTTTCTAACGGCACCAATGGAACCTAATTTTGACCTTTCTACAGTGAATTATAACCGTTTTCCCGAGACTGCCGGGCAAGACTATTTAATCCGAATAAGGAACCTTCAAGTCTAAATGAAACATTTCTCTTGCCGAGCTTTCATGTACACACTAAACTTATTTTCTCATGAACTTTTACCATGTTATGGATCCTATTGCCTACCAAATTAAGTAGCCTAGACTACTCACTCAGTTTCTTAATGAACCTATACTTTAGTAAAGAATGAATCCAATTGTTAATGATTTCACTCGTTGACCTAGGTTTGGGAAATGAATGTGATCGTAACTGAAACGTTTGACGTCGATTGCTACTTTTGCTTGACAGGTGAGTGTTCCACTATCTGCTACCTGTTATCTGAATATTTGGAATACTTGATTTATAACTGTTAGAGCCAAATACTGTTTTGATAAAATGGGAGCGAGTGTGTACTTTATCACACTCGATCTCCCTTGTTTTCACTGGAGCTCCATATACTGTTATTATGAGATGTGATATCTCCATGAATGCCTGTTGATTGAGTTGTTTGGGCGATATCCCATCAACTACTACTACTGTTTGGGTACCCAATCTTATAGGTGAGTCGGTTGTATCGAGCCAGCAAGGTCTTGGTCGAGAAGGCCGATAAACCTTGAGAACTGTTTACTATACACTAGAAATCGGTATACTCGAGTATTACCGAACTACTGTTTATGGAGTGCAGGCCCGGTAGGGGTTGATTGGTGGACGGAGATTGGTGAAAGTGTTGTTCTATGGACCTTATATACTGTGCATACAAGTGTTGACGGAATGTCAACAGGAGACAATTATGATCAAGCTCAAGTGGATCTTTGGCTTTTGAAAGCCACCCGTATCCTTGAATTGAACTATTATTCTACTGTACGGTATTTATTTGGTTATGTTGTGACCTTATGTGGCTATATGTTTAATTGCTTTATTTGGAACCTCACTGGGTTTTAGCTCACCCATTCCCTTTGTTTTCCTTAACAGATCGAGAAGAGACTTGATCAAGAGCTTTTTTAGCTTTATTTTGCTTGTACTTGTGTTTTGAGGTTGTAACTTTTGTTTAAGCAGACTGGTAAGCTTGTACCCATAAGTTCGACTTATGCTATGTAATTTTGAGTATGGAGTGGTAGTAGACAATTAGTTATCTAAATACTAAGCCTGAACATTGGATTAGTGATTATGTATCAATCAGGGTTTCATTCCCTTGCCTGGAAGATATCTCGTCCGTTTCATCGGTGTTATTAGTACTTTGAATGATTGAGTCTCGGCGAGAGTTGGGCAAGCAGTTCGCTGATTCCTTAGGGTTCGCCCTAGGGAGAGGTGGGGCTGTCACATCTTCAAATTGGATGCAGCAGACATGCATTTAAATTTCAAAATAGGTATATGAATCATCAGATTCTTTAGAAACAATTGAAGAGAAATTATCCTGATTTAAGGATAAAGTGACTTGCTGATTTAAGCTGCCAATGGCTTGTTTATTTGAACTGCTAGATGATTTATTTAAACTATGTAATGGAGATTTGAAAACTGGCTAGTAATATATAGGTAATTTGTGCCTTTTGGCAGCTAATTTAAGCCTGAGCTGGGGGTGGATACCTCAAAGAAGGATGATCCGTATTCAAGTGGGTTCTATTTGAGACCCACTATTTTGACTGGGATGGACTCGACTTGGATTGGGCATTCTTGCAAAATTTTAACAAATAGTCAAAGATAATTCTTCCAAACCCTCTTTTGCCTATTCAGCATAATGTTCGATATTTATTCCATGATTTTCTTTTATGCCTTTTTCCTTGAACCATAAATACATTCCTTGATGTGACTCAATATTATGCATTTTTTCAAATCATTGTTCTTTAAGACTTAAAGCAGAATTTGTTTCTTTAATAATAATTTCAATATTTTGTTGTCTATACCTATCAATGAGATGTATAGGAATTTTTTCCCTAGTATCAGCTCCGAAAGTTTCCCATCCATTACTCCCAATTCTTATGATTTTATTTTTAGTTGTAGGAGCAGTATGATGTTTAATTACATAAGAAAGATAAGGTTTTGAATAATGCCTTAGAATTTGAATCTTTCATCCTGCACTTCCTGCAAAATTTTCCTTAAGTAAACTAGTTAGTGAAAGTAGTAATTTTATGTTTTAAATCCAAATTTTTAATCTGTGGCGAAGCAGCAAAACTAAAAGTAAGATTTGCATTAGAAATAGTTTTAACATCACAATAATATGGATGAAACATATTTAAAAATGGTGTACCTGAAATCACATGTCCTACATCTCTTGTTAAGACAAATGGAAGGCAAATAAAATTATTTTCTTAAGAAAAAATGGAAACATCTGAAATTTTATATTGAATATCTAATTTAGTTCCTTGACCAGCATGCATAATAATTGAAGTTTTTTTTCAAAATATTTAGATAGAATTAATCTTTCTCTAATGCAATTTAAATTAGCATCAAAATCTATAAGTGCATCCTAGAATATTGCTATGCTTAATCAACACTTGGAGGTAGGTTTGGTGGCGCGCATCTTGGACATGTCTCTGCCAACCTTTCAAGGTCCAGATAGAATGGTTTGGGCTTTGACGACCTCTGGATTCTTCTCCACGTCTTCGGCATACTCCCTAGTTCGGCAGGTTGATAACAGATCTTGGTGTACTGCAACTGTCTGGCACCACAGTATCCCAATTAAGATCTCTTTCTTGATGCTACACTTACTGCGGGAAAGGATCCCTACGTTGGACAAGTTGAGGAGATTGGGGGTTCGGGGCCTTTCCCGCTGTTGGTGTTGCCAGGATCCTAGGGAGGAGGACATGGAGCACGTTTTTTGCACTGGGGAAGGAGCAAGGCTAGTTTGGCATCACTTTGAGATGCATGCGGGAGAAATGGAGGTGGTACATACAGTGCGACATATGGTGTGGCTTTGGTAGTTACGGGGTGGGCATAATACCAGTTTGGCATTTTTGTATAGGGTCCTACCAGTGGTGGTGTGCTGGGAGTTGTGGAAAGCACGGAATAGGGGGTGTTTGAGGGGCATCGGTTGAGGGTCAGGGAGATGGTGAATCAGATCGTACAGCTATTAGGAGACATTTTGCAGGCACAATTCCTAGGTTTGAGAGAGGTAGAGCCTTCATGGGAAGGATGGCTTCATGTAGTGGCCCACTGCCAGAGGCGGGTGGTCATTCAACCGGTTCGTTGGGTCTCGCCGCAGGGGGGGTGGAAGTTGAATTCAGACGGGTGTTTGCGGGGGAACCCAGGGTTGAGTGGAGGGGGTGGGCTGGTGCGGGACTGTCATGGGATTTTTGTTTTCGGTTACTCGACTTTTTTTGGGACGATGAGCAGCCTGCACACAGAGTTACTTGCGCTCCTTCAGGGTGTGAAATATTGTGTTGCCCGAGGGATCCAGGAGTTACATCTCGAGTCAGATTCACTTACGCTCATTCGGATTGTTTAGGGGGATAGTGCTTGTCCATGGCAGTTGCAGAGGAAGCTGGAGGATCTGCTTCAATTTCGTCTATGTTTCCTAATGCTCTCGCATTGTTATAGGGAGGCGAATTCACCGGCGGATCGGCTGGCAAATTATGGTGTCGATTCTGAGGCAAGACAAGTTTTCAATACCTTTGCAGATCTACCACGTTTGGTTGGAGGGGATATTAGAATGGATAGGTTGGGTTTCCCAGCGTTTCGTAGAAGGGTGGTTGGTCATTAGTGCTGGTAGTTTCATCTCATGTATGCATGATTTCTGATTAATAAAAAAACTATTTAGTTAAAAAAAATATTTATAACTAGTTTAACATGAATATAGTATTTTTGATTTGTTATCAAAGCATTAATTTGAAAAAAATCTTTGAATTTTTTTGGAATATTTATTTGTTGCAAAGTATTAGTATTTTCATTAATTTTTTATTCTCCTTTAGAATTAATTTTTTGAATTTCTTGTAACAAATTTAATTCTTCTATATTATATAATGTTTACTTAACCATTTTAATGTCTTCTTTTAATTCATTAATTACTTGTTTTAGCATTGATATTGTTACGGGTTTAATAACATTTTCTTGTTTAATATGATTTAAAAACATCCTTAATTGCATAAGGTAAATTTTGTTGTTATGGAATAATGACAAAAGAATGTGGATGTCCATTGTGTTTCTCTAGAAGATTGGTACCTGAATTCTTCTCAAGATTCATTTGGTACATTGACTATTTCATGGGAGAACTAAATACATGATCTAGAACTACCAAATTCATGTAGTTGAAATACTACATTCATGTATCCATATTAAATACAGTTCATGTACCATTGATATTGTATGGCTTATAAATAGAGGTCTTCCAAGTCTCATTTGTGACTATGAAAAACTAGTGAATGAAGCTATAACTTTCTCTCTACATTTGTCTATTTCTTTTGCTTAATCCTATACAAGTCTATTTGCATATATTTTAATATACAACTGATAGGGTATTTTACTACACTACAAATTTTAATATCTTATTACCATATTTCCGCAAGTGCACGGTTCGTTTGTTGAGTATTGAGATAATAGGTGTTGATCCCACGGGAATTTAGAAATTGGCAATCACTTGAATTTAATTGCCTACTTTCTTATCTAAACAATCAACGTTCAAGGAAGTAAAAACAAAGAAAATTATTTTAGGTAGTACAACTTGCCATAAAAATTAGAAATTAGTTAGGCGGTACAACCGGTTATAGAAGATGTTGTTAGACGGTACAACTGGCCATGGAAGATGTTAGTTAGGTGGTACAACCGGTCATATGACATAAACAATGAATATAAGATCGACCATTAGATGGTAAAACCAACCATCTAGGCAATGAGTTGCAAGAAATAAATGAAATTAAAGACAAGTTGGATTATAATAGATTAAAGATTAAGTGAGAGGATCCTAGGCATTAGAATCTATAGTTATGTCAAGATTAGAAGTCAGTTAAGATGATTATGCTTATACTTTCATGAATTGTCAAGGAATAACTTTCATATATATGTCCTTGCTTTCGCCAATGAACACTTTTAAGAGAAACCACCTTGACTAATTTCTCTAGAAATTACTTTTGTCAATTTTTTTTAACTTCTTAAACCATCCTTCATCTACATTCATAGAGAAAATGTAAGAAACAAGTTAAATAAACTCAATGAAGTTATTGTATGAATCCAACCAACCATTATTCACTACTTTCGTAAGAATAAATGTAGTGTTTAAGAATTTAGATCTATTTGAAGGCAATTTTCTTTGCTCAACAATTATTAAATCATTCATAGTTGATGGCCAAACAACTATAAAATATAAGTTCAAATTCTCAAACCAACAAATCATAAAAAAGCATAATCATCCTTAACTACTTCAAATCAAAACTATAACAAATTCATCTTCACTCTAGGATATGAAAAAACTTAGCTAGATATCATATTAAGAATATCTAAATATAAAACAAACTTGTAACAAAGTATGACAAATAAAAAGAAGAGATAGAGTTTAAAAAAAAGAATTCTTATACAATATCTTGAAGTTTGAATCTTCGAATTCCTTCACAAGTTGATTTGTCAAATAAGTTTGTTACAAGAGTATTTTGACCTTCCTATAAAAAATCTTTAAAATAAGAAAGAAACTTTCTATATGAAACTAGAGTTAAACGATTTCTACCTCTACACTACCTCTTACTACAAGATGTTATCTCTTGCTAAAATGATACTCAAAAGATTAAGATACAAGGGATATTTATAGATGTTTTTGAATGAGAAAATATGCACATAATGTGGTTATAAAGTTGTTCTTCACTTTTCCAATTCAAGATTAGTTGGTTCTGTGAGGACCAGAAAATTATTTTATATTTTATTTTATTTCTTTGAATACATTTTCTTTAGTTTCCTTTATTACCTTAGTTTTCTAGATATTTTTATAAGTAAGTTAAGATTTTTAATCATTTTTCTTGTATAAGTTAGTGTATGTTAAGATCGTAGAAGATTGTGGTGGTAGGACCCATTAGTGAGATGTATGCAATAAATTTTTGATGGTTAGGAGGAGTTTTGTGCAAAAGGATATTACTTTATAAGATTTTAGAAGATAATTAGAGGTTAACTAGATATTTTAGTATTTGAAAGACCATTAGATGAGAATTAACCATTGGAAGCCATTTGTCAACCAAGCCATGGAGCTTTGACTTGGACCAAGACCTTTCTTAGCCTTTAATAAAAAGAAAATTTGATCAAAAACCCTCATCTTCTTCCCTTCTTTTGGCCGACTCTCCTAGCAAGGAAAAAGAGAGAAAAAACTCCATTTTTTCAACCTAGAACCTTGCTTGAATCCTTGAGGTTTTCACCATAAATTTGCAATCCAATCTATAGGAAGTAACTTTAAAGAAGGAGGAAGACCTTGGATGGAAGAATTTAGGGGAAAAAACGAAGCTTTGGTTGCTTTTCTTCATAGGATTAAAGGTAATCATGGCTTGAAACCATTTCTTCTCTTTTAACTTGCATTTGAGTGGATTTAAGGCTTGATTTTTGGTGGATTCTATGGAAAATTTCATAGTTTGTGTGGTGGTTTGGAGATTCCAACTTTAATGGAGAAATTTCAGCTTTGATATGTTGGTTTGAGCTTGATTAGGATCTATTAACTTTGTCATGTGGATTTTCTAGTTTTTATATGTTATTTTGGCTTCATTATAGAAATTTTTAGCTTGTAGTGGCAACTTCCAGCTTTAAATAAGAAATTCCAGCTTTGAAGAGTTAATTTCAGCTTTGCTAAGTCCTTGTTGTTTTGCCATGAGATTTTCTAGTATTGTAGGCACTTGTGGCTTCATTATGTGAATTTCCAACTTTGGTGCTTATTCGAGCTAGTTTAGTTTAGAGCTTTGAATACATGAAATTTTGATGGGTTGTTTTGATCATCTAGGGTTAATCTTTCTAGTTGGTTTTGTAGGCGATTTCTTTTTTAGAAATTGACACTATATGCCTTATAACGTGTTGGTTAGTTTAAGTTTTGGATTTCTGATAGAAACATGAAGGAAAGTTGGGAGTTTGGCTAGAGGAGCTTTTGGAAAAACATTCTTTTGCTCGCCGGAAATTTCCACAGGGATATCTGTACAATTTTGGGAAAGTGGCTATAACTTCGTATAGAAAAGTCAGAATTGAGTTCTGTTTGTTGCATTTGAAAGTAGACTCATAGTGCTTCCTACGCTATAAAATTTAGAATTTGGTTTAATCTCTATAAATATCAGGAAATTGGCAAAGTTGACTGAAAATTCTGCCCTGCACAAGTAAAAACTAGAATATTATAGTAACTTGTGAATCAATTTGGACCAATTTATGAACTGAATCTCTTTGAGGTGTCTTCTAAAGATTGTTAGTGTTTCAAGTCTAGTTTTAAGAGGCCAAGTTGTATGCTTTCTCGACATTTGTAACTTAAGTTATGATTTTTCAAAGGAATGATACTTGCTGAAAATTTTCCATTTCAAAGGCACTCGAGCGATACAAATTTCAACTTTTCTTGCTAAAATTCATGATTTTTAAACTCATGACATGTTGGATATGACATATTGTGTAACTGTGATGGAAATAAAGATGTTTTACCATGAAGTTAAGCTTTAAACTGTGGAGGAGAAAATTAAGGAAACTAGGGGAGGTTTGTTGTTTTTCTGCCTTGCTGGCAGGCCAACTAGGAACCAGCTTGGTTTTCTTTAATTTTGAGGTTATTTTGTGGTAAATTTGCCTAAGATATTTGGTAAACCTTTAAGGTTTACTTGTGTGTTGAATTTTATATGAATTGAAGGGTTTTCATTGGAAGTTTTATCTTATTTGCTGGCTGCGAATTTGGCTTGTTGGCCAAGTGGATAGTGATGCATTTTACCTTGTTTTCTCCAACCTTTTCATGATGAGTTTGGTTAAAACTTGTTTCAAACATTGGTTAGGACTTTTGTGTGTTGAACTTGAGCGAAAACCATGAGTTTTGGAAGTTGAAAACCTCATATTGTGCTTGTTTATTTTCTAAAACAAAATTCTGGTTAGATGGCAGTTTAGTTGCCCTGCTATTTTAGTCTTAAAGTCCTCTCATTTGGTGGCCTTTTGGACTCAATCTTGCTCATATCACTTGCTAAAACCTTGAACTACAAAGGTGTATTGAATTGGAGTAAATCCAATAACTTTAAAAGGATGAACCGCCTCGATTTCTTCACTGTTTTGCCACTAGAAATTTCCAGCAATGAAATGAAATATGGAACTCTTTGGTTGCTCATGTTTTTTGGGTCCTAATGCTCTCATTTCACTCTAAAACCATACTTAAATCGTTGCCCTAGTATCTACTAGGATTTTCCTTGATTTGCATCTTCGAATTTGTCTTTGAACTTTGTGTTTTTGAGAGGCCAACTTGATAGGTGTATGGCTCATAGTTGAGCCTAAATGTGAACTTGATTCACCTAAGTTTTGGATGGTTGGTCTATAATATTTTATCTTGGTTGTTTTTAAGGTTTGATGGTAAACCCCGAGCATAACTTGGAGACAAATGGTTATCATTGCTCTGCTTTGAACTGGTGATGGTTCCAACTGCATGTTCCATGCTCATTGTTACTAGAAATTGCTA